CACAAATACTCCAACAAAAGTTGAAGTCCTGAGCTCCATAAAGCTACTGAAATGCGGGAAAGCAGAAGGACCAGATGAGATCCCACCAGAAGCACTGAGAGCAGACGCAGAGACAACAGCGGACATGCTCACACCACACCACTATTGCAGAAGGTGTGGAAGGAAGGGAAGGTACCTAAAGATTGACTGGAAGAAGGGCTATCTTGTCAAACTCCCGAAGAAGGGCTACCTAAGCCTTTGCAAAAACTAGCGCGGAATCATGCTCCTGTCCACCCCAAGCAAAATATTAAGCCGCGTCATCCTGGAGAGACTAAATGATGCACTGGATTCAAAACTACGACCCGAACAGGCTGGCTGAAATCACGAAGTACAAATCATGTGCGGACCAAATCGCAACACTTCGCATCGTCATTGAACAGAGCATAGAACGGCAGTCAACCCTCTACCTCAACTTCATTGACTTTGAAAAGGCCTTTGACAGTGTCGACCGAGAAGTAATTTGCCAGCTGCTTCAACACAACGGAATATCACAAACCTTTATCGACCTCATTCAACAACTATATGAAGACGCCACACAATGGGAAGCTCAGTGATGCTTCTGAAGTGAAAACAGGAGCAAATCAAGGCTGTCTACTATCACCAATGACCTTTCTGATTGTGGTCGACTGATCATGCAGCAAACAGTGGGGAGCGAGAAGAGGGAGATACGCTGGACTGCGGTAAAGAACCTAGAAGATTTGGATTTCGCCGACGACTTGTGTTTAATGTGGCACAAACTTGAAGACCTACAGGCGAAAACTAACAAGTTGACAGAAGAGGCAGGGCAGCAAAGATGGCACTTCAAGTGAACGTAGAGAAGATAGAGGTGATGAAGATATTCAACCAGCGCCACCATCAACAACAACAAGCTCCATTCACCATCAGCGGGAGAAACTTAGAGGAATTGCCTCTTTCACCTATCTAGGCAGCACTGTTTCGACTACAGGCGGTACAGACGAGGATGTCAAAGCCAGGATCGGAAAACTAACAAGACAGGCTTTCATTAACCTGAAACCAGTGTGGAGATCTTCTGCACTCAGCACAAAGCGTAAACAAGATCCGGATTTTCAACACCAATGTCGGGTCAGTGCTTCTATATGGTTCAGAGATTTGGCGCGTTACGAAAGGCATTTTCAACAAACTACAGACTTTCATCAACAACTGGCTACGCTCAGACGGCCAAAAAGAATAAGCAACAAGGGATTGTGGTCGGGCAACGAACCAACCAAGAACCCATCGCATAAGAAATATGCAGAAGGAAGTGGACATGGATTGGGCGTACACTGAGAGGGCCAACTGGGGACAAAATGCGCCAGTCCCTCGAGTGGGACCCAGATGGGAAGCGACAAGTTGGGCGTCCGAGTTGAGGGTGACATGGAGGAGATGGTGTGAAGAAGAAATGAGAGCTTGTGGGCTGTCGTGGAGCCAAGTTCGAAAGATTTCAGAGAACAGAGTGGAATGGAGACGTGCTACTGAAGCCCTATGTTCCATTAGGAACCCAAGGGACAAATAATATAATAATAATTTCATGCTGAATTGACGAGAGCTGGACAAAAATGGGAGTGAGGACTGAACTATTACCTAATTCTAAATTTCTCAATAAACTGTACTGTGACACGTATACACAACGGCAATAGTAAGCTATTTTGTATTGGGTTTCAGAACACATTTATTTGCATGATTTCAAGAATGTAGTTTCCGTCACGTGTAACATGTGTAATTTTCTGAAATTCAGGAGCCAAGCCATTCACATTTCATGAACTCATTTGATTGAAGTCAGACAATTGTTGTAGAAAATACTACCACTATTGTCACCACCAGAATTTCTACTAAAACAATACTGTGAAAATTTGATCATTTTATTGTGTAGTGAAGCAAGTAAGAAGTCTTACAGTTTATTCACTCGTTTCTTAAGCAATTGCTTATGTGTAAATGTGTTATACAATAGTGTGTATTTTTTATCTGTAAAGTCCAAGGGGCAAAATCTTTGGTAACCAAAAACTTGATCACTTTTAGGCCACTGAAAATCAGTTACTGAAGTGTGATAATAAACAGAATTCATTTGAACAAAAAGGGAACTATTGACACTTACTGAGAACAAACTTGATTTTCAAAAATATCTCTGGAAGCATATTTATATTCTTGTTTGTTACGGTATACTAGGTGGCAAAGAGAAACTTTCATACTTATGAGCAGACTGAAAAAACCCTATAAGTGGTTTGGAACTAATTCTGAAAACTGAAATCATTCTCTTCCTTTTTTCTGCTATGATGGTCAAAAGTAAGTCGAAAATTAATTTATTTGGCACAAGAAGATTCTCAACGTGCTATTTATCACTTAAATTATTACTTCGGTGTACGTATTTGTGTTTAGATTCGAATGATTTTATCAAAACAAATAGACTCACAAACGTTATGTGCATTGCTAGATGACACGCAGATACATTCCTGGCTATTTTTCAACGCAATTTACGCTTTTTCCAAATATCGACCTTGTAAATTTTTTGGTTAGTGGATTCGTAGTTAAAATTCACACTTTTCGTTAGAAGTTATTGTTGAGTACCGTATTCAAAAATAATCTCCCAAGCTTCTTCAGTCCAAAGAGGAATTTATTTTCGACTTATTTTTTGCTGTTTGTCAACTCTTAGTAACTGAAAACAAAGTTAAACTCTGATAATGATCCTACGACAAATAAAACTCGATTCAATTTCATTTTAAGTGGTAATTTGTAACGGTGATAGAACTCGTCACCGAGGTATATGTCTGCAACTTATACAGAAACTTACACCTTAATAGCCGATATTATTGATCAGTAACATTTTAATATTGCTTATGAATGTCATAGCTGGGATTAGTGAACTGAATGTGATGTGGAGGCAGCATCAGTTCCCTCAATGATGTTCATTTACTTTGCAGACAATTACAAAGAAAAGGATAAGTTCTGTGACTTAGTATCAATCGTCAAAAACTGAAAAAGCATAAAATGCTTTATACAAGAATAAAAACTGGTTCTAGTCAATTTCTACGGGGAATGTCCTGTGGGATGAAGTTCTCAGATGAAGACGGGTACGATAAAATTCGCATGAGAAGGAAACATTGGAAACCAGTCAACTAATTCCACAGAATACTCCATAAAATCTTTAGAATATCTATTAAAGCAAATAAGAATAATACATCTATGTAAAACCAACAAAGTGACAATCAGCAAACTAGAACTTCAAGCTTGTATCCAGAAAAACTGTTTAAATCAGCACCTTGGTAATAAGCCTAGTAAAGAAGTGTCCCTATCTTTTCAAAAAAGTTCTCATTATGATACAGTACCTTGCTTCCTAACTTTTGTGTTCACTTTTATTTAAGGATATTTAGTGGCAATTTCTCATTTTTCTTCTCAACCAGTATTGACTGTCTTGATGAAATGGGTAGCTTACGACAAACGAATCTAGAACAATCTTTTCGTCATATCACATTCGGATGAATATATCGCTAAACCTGTGAACTATTTAGTTCCATCATCGCTTCTTCTTGTTTAAATAAAACTTTATCAGTCAAAATTGTTTCGACTGGCAAAATAAGGTATGTATGTAGTGATAATGAAACTCTCTGGAGAATTATAGATATCAGTCATATTTGAACCAGTGTACTGCAGATTATCTGTCACATGCTTTATTAAATCACCAACAAAGTTCAAGTAAGAACTCGATTTTCATTCAGTTGCAAACTCAAAGTTTCGTAACTAGCAACCGTAGAAGTGAGCAAAATGTTTATTTTTTCTTTCTATAATCTCACCTAGACTACCTACTATGGTCATTGTTTTCTCAAGCATTCACTCATATCATATAAATAATGAATACCCCTTATTGTGTACCGGGAGCGAAAGGATGGGTATACGCTGGCTGGACCGATGAAGAGATGACTCTAGAATATTTGGATTTCACCGATGATAATTTATGTCCAATGTCTTGTCTCACAAACTCGAATACCGACATGCAAAAGCCAACAAGTTGACAGGAGAGGCGGTGAAGACGGGACTTCAAGTGAATATAGAGAAGATGGAGGTGATGAGGATAACCAACCACAACGACAACAACAGTAGCAGCAGGAGCCAATCACCATGAAGAGGAGAAATCTAAAGGAAGTAGTCTCGTTGACCTACCTAGGTGGAACAGCCTGGTTTCAACGACAGGCAGCGACACAGATGAGAATGTGAAAGCCAGGATCGGAAAGATCGCAAGACAGGCCTTCATTACTCTGAACTAATCAGTGTGGAGATCTACTCCACTCCACTCCACTCCACTCCACTCCACTCTACTCTACTCTATTCAGCATGAAGCGTGAACAACATCTCGATTTTCAAGATTAAGTCAGTCAAGTAAGTTAGTGCCTCCATGTGATGATTGAGAGACTTGGCGCGTCGCGAGAAGCATTTCCAACAATCTACAGACATACATCATCCACAACTGCCACCTAGGCTCACTCGATACTGAAGATCAGATGACCAGGGTGGTAAGGATAAGCAAGGAGGAAGTGTGGCTGGCTGGCTGGCTGGCTGGCTGGCTGGTTGGCTGGCTGGCTGGCTGGCAACGAACCAACCAAGAATCCATTGCTCAACAAATATGCAGGAGAAAGTGAATATGGATTGGATTGGACTGGATTGGACATAGTGTGAGAAGACCGTCTGGGAACATTACGCTCCAGACCAGGTCTTCGAGTCGAACCCAAATGGAAAACGACGAGTTGGATGTTCGAGCCGAGGATGACATGGAGGAGATGATGTGAGGAAGAAATGAAATCTCCTGGACAGTAATGTAGTCAGTTTCAGAAGGTTTCAGAGAACAGAGTGGAATGGTGGGATGCTACTGAATCCCTTTGTTGCACTAGTACCCAAGTGACAAATAATAATGAAATGACTATTGTTTACCAGTAAAAGGGAAGTAAAATAATTTTAAATTCATCAAATTTTACCTTTGATACATGGTGCATCCGGTAGACGTGTTTGCTTATAACCATCTTGACAACGATTGCACGCTTGTCCAATAACACCTGGTTTACATGGACATTGACCAGTTTTACGATCACAGTGTTGATTGGCAACTGAACCAATAGGATGGCATCGACATTCTACAAATAAATACTTGTAAATATTAAATCTTTTCTCGTTTTTTTTTTCTAAAACTGACTGTACAAACAACATGCTTAATGTGGGAAATGAACTCTAGTTTTAATTGGAAAAATAATAGAATTATAGTGTTCATGCTGTGAAAACTTCATGCAATTTGTTTAGGCTTTGGCTAGTACCTGTAGATGTATGCATAAGCAATTTCCTACTGGAAATATTGTCATGATTTGTGTTAAGCACATGCACAGGCAAGCCTAGGTAGTAGTACTTAAAAGTACGTATAAATATTTCCAGACCTCCCACCATATTTATTCAGATCGACATAGAATTGATGATATTTTTGTCACAGGGAGGTATGAAGGGATTACAAGTTCTTACTCCCAAATGTCTTCATGACATTACTCGTGCATGGTTGAATCACCGTATCAGCAGTATTGAGGTCAGGCGAAGGATGCTAAGCAGGAAAGAGGAGTCAGTCAGTTAGATTGTGAACTTCCATCGACTGAGATGGCTGGGACGTGTACTGCCCATGTCCAGTCACCGCCTACCTAGAGGTGCCGTGCTAAGGGGAAGTTGGATTAGTTTGAAAGAAGGTTCAGGTTGCCAGACCAGATGTGACATCAGTTCAAGAGGTCTCTGGCTGCTGGTATGAGCCACGTGGGAAATGTAGACTGTTTGGTTGGGATTCCCGATAGGACTGGAATCAGTGGCTGAGGAGCCTTGATGATATGACTAAATACTGATCACAATGGCTCAAATGTACTCACTCGTTGATGTCTTCTAAATCTTGAATCTTTTGAATGACCATAATCTTTAAATTCCTTCTCCTCCCAAACAGCTTTGCTTACGTTGATATAACTGTTTTTTGATTTCTTTAATCTTTCTACACTATTGTGAAGTGTGGTAACTTGAACAGATGCACTTGTGTGCAATGTTCTGTTATGAATTTTTCCGTCTGTTTTTTCTAAACTGATATGTAGGTGATCAGAGATGATGATAGAGTTGAATCCCAACATCTGTGAAGGAGACTTTCTTCTATCTGGTTCCGCAAGTCAGCAAGCGATACGCATATAACACAAGAAAGTTCAACATTACTTGACTGAAACCTCCAAAATTAGGAAGATTATTTCTTCGTATAATTTTGACTTTCAGCTTTGAAGCTGTTTCTTCAGTTTAGTTTGTATTTTGATCCTAGTTTCTCTCATAAATTTGTGCGGGTGAGCTTTATCTCTTCACTGCATTTTCTTTGGAATTGACATCCGACAAAACCAATGACTGCATAACTCCGTTCAGCATCTATCATTATCATACCAGTTGATATCTACATATCACCTTAAATACAGTAAGAACAGTAGTTGAAGCAGTATAGTGTACTCGTTGTTTTTATGGCCAAAAGGCTGACTATTTGTACTGTTACAACATTCTTCTTCTTCTGTCATAGGAATCATAATTTGAAAATCATTATTTTCCACAAAAATCACATTTCATTAGATTCATGAAGTGCAAATATTCTATGTACGTTGACATATCCTCAGTTTTGGTATACTATGTCTGAACACCATTATCAAGAACGCAACTAGCATGAATAGTTCGCATCTTTTTTAACCGAATGTGGAGATAAATACTCAACGATGGCCTTGAATGACTGTCACCCGCCTATCGCCGATAGATAAAAGTTGGAAAATGTGGACCATTGGGTTTAGATCCATTGGCTTAATGGTAACGCAATCGCCACAGAAACTGAAGAGCGTGAATTCGATCTGTAGTGAGGTCGTGGGTGGACACTGCTAAGATGCCGCATGCTAAGACAAAATAGCTGTCCAATGCTGCTACGTTTTCAATAGTCCTTCAACTGTTATCAATCTGTGATGAATACTACCTTGGAAACAAACCTATTTCTCCAAAGTTAGTCCTGGACCTAGAATAGTTCGAAATTTTAATACTCTACACTACCATGCTGATTGTTACATTCTTTCAGGAAATTACGTTAACAGTTTTTCAGTAGACATTGATTCTATTATCAGTAATTCCAAAAGACATGCAAGCGTTCGAAAAATTTCCTTAAACTTATACGTTCACCTACAGGAGCAAACTCGTGATTAGCATAGGCTAGGTTTGACAATCAGAAGATCTTCCATGTCTTCAAATATAGAAATTCAAATGGTTGAATGAACGAAGAGTTTGTGTGACAGTACTAAGGCTTATCACATTGTAATTGCCATCAGAAATACTCTTGTAGCCTGTAAATGAGTTTCTCATATAATTCCGCTTTTAGATCATAAGATGAAGTACAACCGATTGGGATAGATAGTATCTACTGCCAAGTTTAATCTGTCAGGTAATGTAGCTTGTAAGCAAAATATTACGAATCTACCCTGTTTAAATCAGTAGAAGAGATACAAGGATTCAATTATTCTTTTCTGTCTCAAAGTTCAGTCGGTTGCATGTAACCTTGTAATTTCATCCGCAAACTATCTCAAACTATAATCCTAACTGATTCAGTTTCTTATTTTGAAATACCCAATTTCTGCATCTCTCGGAATGATAGATTACCTTATAAACTTGTTCAAAAATGTCTGTAGCATGCAAAATGGCATTCACACATTATGTACGTAACACGAGTGATTATTCTAATCCAGTTCATGCTTTGTTTAATCTTTTTGTAAAACGTAGACACTGCATTTATTCCTAACCGTATTACCTACGCAAAGTATGGCTGAGTGGAAATGACCTCTAAAATAGCAGTATAAGTTACTGAAAATAGTAAGTAGTTGGCTCTGGGACTGGACTTCATACTTGTCTTTTCTAGACTACAGAATGTATCTACAGCGTTTTAGAATCCTATTATGTTTCTGGAGATTTAAAGTCTACACATCTGAGTAGACTTGAATCATCCTTTATATTTTCAGCCTTCCAGGTTCAGCTACAGAAGTGGAAGCCGTGTTTAACAGTCTTAGATCCATGCTGAATAAGAGCATAATGAGAAACACTATCCTCTGACTGAGTTGATTTGGAATTCAGTAAGTCTGTCCATGAAGTTTGAGTAATATCTTGTAATTTAGTCCGTTAATTTAATGGAGTATTGGTATATTCGGTACAGTGATTAGTAGAAGGTCAAATCTTTCACAGCCTAATTTTTTCAAAAATAAAGTCGACATTTTCTAGCTCTAAGCGTCGTCAGGTGTCCAGTTGGCAATTATTTAGCCAGCTTGATATGCTACGCTTTTAAAGATGAGGGGCATCCAACTACTCATAATTTTTGTGACAAAATGCATGCACCTTATATAATTCTTACCCAAACAAACTTGATCATGACTGACAGGTTTTGTCCAGTCCCTATAATATCCTGTAGCGCAGTTATGACACCTTCTCCCTACTGTATTATGCTGACAGTCTTGACAAACACCACCGCTTACCTTCATGGACATGAGATATAACTGATTTGAAAAAATGCATGAGTTAGAGTGTAAATTACAATCACATCCTAATCCACAGTAACATCCATGCGCATATGCGTGCAGAAGTGCATCATAAAAAATGCAAATGTTATGAATTCATGCAACAATTATTTGTTATCAGGACATATAAGATATCACAGTTACCACAACAACATTGAATTTTGAAGCACATCGTATAGTTAGCATTGTATAGTTAGAATTGCAGCGTGGATATAGGACGGATAACGAATCAGTTAATATTTTCCCCAATAATTTATATTGCGAGGCCCAGTCAATTTTTATATTTGATAAATAAATAAATAAGCACAATTATAATACTGAATTAGTCAGAAACAGTAACAACAACAACAACAGCAAAGTCAGTAATAATAAAACACAACATTGTAATCGGATCAAATAAAAAAAGCAGATTGTAAGCTAAAATATTTCACCACCACTTTTTTGTTTGGTTAGTTGATATAATATGAAATGAAGAACTTTTTCAGGGTTCTTTCTGCTATCATTAAGTGCCTACCTCGACATGCGTGCTCATTTCCCATGGGTAGATTAGGATCACGATAATAGCCAACTATACATTGATCGCAGTTTGGACCTTCAGTATGATGTTGACATGCCACACATATACCACCTGTTATACCTCCGGAGCGTTTGAAAGCTTTCACACTGAAAACACACTGTTTAGTGTGATTACCACATTGACAAGCTGTTGTAAAAGAGGAGGCGGATGAAGTGACCAGAAAAAAACTAAAAACTATTATCATAATCAATTTTAGTAGCAATGCAAAGAACAGCGAATCTATAATAACAATTACCATTTTCTAGGTGTAGTTTTGAAAAATTACTGATACTTTCTTACTTCAATTTATCTGAATTGGACTAAAGTTGTACAACATGGGAAAACAATTACCAGTGACGGATAGTCCCTAGTAGTGAAATACAGAACACATGTTTCGTCCTATTTAGTACTTGTCAACTGGATATACCTCTTTGGCGAACGATGTTTCCCCCACTGAGGCTCGAACCCGAAACCGATCACATCGAACGCCAGAGCGTTATCCACTAGTCCATCAAGTCACGACAGTCAATCTTTGTGCTATGGATATAGTTTTTATTTTGTTGCTTGTATTATCCCGTCGTTGATTGGACCAAATTTTTCCGTCTGTACTATCATATGGGCTCCTGTGTGGATGGTTTGATATCGCTTGTTTCAATTATATATTCATGGTGGGTAGCGACTATCAGTGGAACGTTAATATGAAAGTGAAACACAAGCAGTATCGAAGCATCTGATCATTAAAACTAATTACAACCAAATATGATCGACGGTGTACTTTTCTACCTCTATTTATACAAGACTACTTTCATCTATCCTGTTTCTGCTCACTTCTTTTCTCCCTATAACTTTCTTTATCAACTACTGAACAACTAGGAGTGTATACCCATTCATGTGACATGACAGTGGTTAGCTATGTAATTCAACTGCTAAGCTTCTGTGTCGCTTATCTTTCTTTTTTGCTAAAGACGAGTTGTAGTATGGGGGAATATCTGGTCAACTGGTACCAACAGATTTATTTCTTCTAATTCAAAAAGAATCGGCATACTACCTAGTTACTGTAGGGAAACCGTGTTTGTCAGTAGACTATACCACCAAACAAACAGAGCAATAAAACAGTGATGTGCACGCCGTTGAAACCACTTGGCTGTAATTAAAAATATTTTCAGTTTAGTTGACCACATTCAAACCCCACTAATTCTCCAACTTCTTGATAATGAAGGAGGTTAACTTTATCCGTGGATGAATCGTTTCAACACGTCTGAACTTTAGAATTTTCCTCTTCACAGAATATATGTATTTTTCGGGTAAATTCAAGCTAATAATTTTTCTCACTCACACAAAAGTAACAAAATTCTTTATTTTACCAGCTGATGTAATGATAAGCGGCATTTTGAGTGATCTAAGACAAGCGGGTTACATTCAAAAAATAATTAATTATATTTGTACTGAAATCAAGAAAGAACCCGAAAATCTCTTACAATATAAAGGGCGTGAACAGAATAGTAACAAAAAAGGACTAATTTACCTAAAACGTTTGTCCTGATAATCGCAAAATTTCGACCTACAGCCTAAGCTGTAGCTAATCCATTCCTTAGCTTGGCGGTCCTGAGCTGGATTTACTGTGAAATCGTAGGTTGGTACCAATGAAGAGCATCTAACTAGGCAAAAGCAATTGTCTAGTGGTGCCTGAGTCTCAGTAGTTTTTTGGGCAACAGAATCCACACAGGGAAATGTTCCATAATATGAATTTGTAAGAACCTGTCATATATTCATATATTCAACCTGAATCTGTTGACGTTCAATATTTCTCTCATGTAAGCATTCACAAATTTTACAGTTTCTCTTCTTTGATCGAAATAAAGATTTTTTTATTTCGCTACTGATTTTCATTATTTTTTTTAACATTTAAAACTAAATGCGCATTTTCTCTGCTGTACATTTCCATCAATTTCACTAGTATTTTTCTGTCTGACTAAAGTGCAATACTTAGTTAATTAAGCCGTCACCTCATTTCTAGTTTTTAATTTTCGTTTTATAAATGTATTGTGATGATATCACGTTACTTATCAACTGCTTTTCTAACCCAAATATTATTATAAAATCAAGTTGCAGAAGGATTAACCTTCACGCTTTTAATGATCTTGACATATCTAGACTCACTATCTTAATTCATTATCTGTAAATAGCTAAATTTAAAAGTTTGCTGTGTTCGAAAACGTGAATGCTTATGAAAAAGACCGTAATATTATTTCTAGAGAATAATATTTGGCTGTAGTACCCCAGCGGTTTAGTGGATAACGCTTTTGCGTAATGGGTTCAAATCTCAGTTGGAATAACATCACTCATTGAGGTACAGGTACACCCACCTGACGAGTCTCAAGTAGGAGATGTGTGTCCTGGGTTCCACTGCTACCTACCAAGCAGAGAACAGCATAACCAGTATTCGAGTATTATCGAGGTATCCGTATACGAGCTCACCCGCCAAAAGAGGTCGAGTGATTCGGCATTTATAGCAACAGGAGATTGCAAGTATCAAAAAATATTTGACTTCCCTATTAGAACTAAAGTATATACTTTTAATATCATGGTCTTTATCCGACATAACTATATTGTTTAGATTTCCTCAGTTGGAGTATCTTCAAATTAAATTTATCTAACAAGATCAAAGGTAAAAAGATAACTTTAATCCTCTTGCAATCTCATATATTTAAGATGAAGCTCTCAAAACAATATTGGAGATTTAAAACTTTACGGAAAAACTGGTTGTTTGCATAGTGAGCAAATGTTGACTAATCATAATCAACATTTAAGCATGAGTCCTCCATGTCTCAGTCAAAACCTAACTACTGAAATATTTATGACAGTCAGTTCCTATGTAAATAAGGTATTTTCTTCGAGGAGTCGGGTTCTTGTCTTCTAGCGTCCGAATTACACAAAAAATTGAGTCTTACAGAATTTGTTAACATTCTCTTTAACTGAGAACTAACAAACAAAGATGACCTCCCCAAAAGTATTTTTCACTGGAAACAAATTGTGAAATACTAAACAATACTGTGTCAGCCAACCTGCTAGACACACCACATTCCTTAGTTGGTATTCACAAAGGACTGACATTGACTGGAGAACTACCGAAAACTTGGGAGCACTGGACAACCGTTTAGACCCAGTATGAGACTCTTCAGTAGTGCGCAACCATGACTTTGCCAGGGGTCAAATTTAGGGTGTTCAGGTTTTGAGGCGAACAAGTTACCGTTGAGCCGCTGGGTTGGAATCTAATGGTCTACTTCTTTTAATTTGCGATATAGGGTTATCTTTGTTCAATGCCATCATTGGGTATATCTCAAAAGCTTCAAAGTGAATAACATTCCTTAGTCTTGAACAATACTTGAACAGCCATTTGCAGACAGTGACAATGGTAATCTTCTAATGGTCCCACCTTACTGAGAGGTGGTGAAGTTCCAGGCATGATTTTTGCTTGTGCACATTATTTACATTCATTTTAAGGAATTCTTGCATACAGCTAACGTAAGCAAAATAAAAAATACAGTTCTTTTTCAAGGATATCACTGAAAATATTACATCAGTACTAAAATGACTAAACCCTCTACTACTACTAACAACTTTGCTGGTAATCCAGTAAGGGAACATAAACGTGCATTCTGTATCTTAAATTGATTGTTCAAATAGAAAGTGTCTTCGCTTTCTGTAGGCCTTTTCTAGCCTCTTATCTTGTTCTTTTCTACTAGTTCACTTTAACTATCTGTGTATATGCATAAATGTCATGCAGCAGAAGGTTTTTTATTTAATTGCACCTTTTACACTGTACGACTATAGAAAACTCAAATAAGTAGGGAAGAATAGCTTCATAAATTAACAAATATATTAGTGATACTGTCTATATATCAAGACAGAATGAATTGCTCGGTTTTGCAAATTATGTGTCTGCGTATATGCATTTCTTCACCACCTATTCTTCTTCGTTCTCTTTAGAATAATGCTAATCCAAGATAAAAGTGGTTGACAGTGCAGACAAATGGCTAAAATGGTTTTTCATTTTTTGCACATATATGCACTGAACTACAGTAAAACTAACACATACACACACACACACTACCAGAGAGATACATCACCGAACACTTGGTGTTGGCCACCTACCTGTATTGTTAGCACACTGCTTTATCAACATGTATTCATTGACTTACCCACAATGTATGTAATATCCCTTTACTAATACTAAAGAATTATTTTCATGTTTAAATGAAATGAATGTTTTATTGCCGTTTGCTTATATTACAAGTTTCGTACATATAGTGGTCTCATAGCATATATTTGTGCAAAAGCTCGAGTAATTATACACACACAGAAAATAATAACACTACAGTATATGGGCAAAAAAGTGAGAATTATGTAGACGTTGTAATTTGAATTTTGAAATACAAAAACGCGGAAAATCAAAACAGACTGACAAAT